TGTACGAGTTCTATTTTTTCTTGTAAATGCAATTTTGGCTAAGCTTAAAATAAAATTAAGCTGGACAAGCTACCCACTTATTATCCAAACATTCCGTAAAACCCACTGCTTATAAAGTTATAATCACTATGAAACATACTCTTAACATAAAAATAATTTAAAGTCAAAGTAGGACTTCCCAAAAAATTAAGATCTAAGAAATGTTATTCGCAACGAGTAACTGAACAAGTATGATAAATTATCTTACAGGATTCGGCAAGTAAGTCCCAGTCCCGCTACGATATCTTGGTATATCATCAATGTATTTTGGACTTACATATGGAGATCTACTGGAAACAGACTGAAGGGGAGCAATCGGAACTAGATGTTGACCATAACTTGCAAGCTGAGTCAAAAGGTTTGTATTAGCTGAAAGTGTTCTTCCAGGATTATCATATGGGAAATGACCCTGCAGATAAACTGGTGGGACCATTACTGGTGAAGGATAGATTAAAGGTCCATGGGAGTGCGGATTCTGGCAGAACCTTCCAAATTGCAAATTTTGCCAATGGCTGGCAAAGTCGCTGTTGAGAATATCAGACTTTTGCTCATCAGATGACTCAATGGTAGTTGTCCCTCTCAAGGAACTAGAAGAATTTAAATCCTCAGACTGGTCAAAGCCCTCAAAAGGACTATAGTTCTGACAAGAGTCACTGTTATCCAAGCTTTCATCGGCTTCAAAATGGTCCGTTAATTGATCTGATATTCCAGTCTCAGGAGGAATATTGTATACTGGAAGCATTGTTACAAATGGGATTGGAGGCCCAGTAGGATAAAATGCAACAAGTCCATTATTATCCATCATCCTCTGTCTAGAACCAGGAGCTATCAGCATCGGGGCAATGGGAATCACCGAGTCTGATCCACTTGTCTGAGCAACTTCAAAGCCAGGCACAGGACGCCTTGGAACATACAAAGATGCAACAGATTGAGAAACCGGATTTCGTTCTGCCATTTCAGTCCCCACATTCGATGGTGCAAGCCATTCCTGATCATTATCTTCAGCTTGATTTGTAACATGTTCGGACATAATTTTGCCTTTTCCATGGCCACCCCAGGAACCCTCTGAAGAAGCTCTACTTCTCAAAGAACTACTACGAGTAGCAGAAGAGAACCTAGAACTTGCAGGTCTTTCTTCTTCATAAGCCTCCTTACCTCTGATATTTTGAAATGAGAAATTATCACTATCCTCCCTCATTGATCCATGTTTTTCTTTGGTATGCTTACCACTTATTCGAAATGGAGGGATATATTTTAAACTGGACGATGTTGCCTGTGGTTTATCATATGACTGAATCATTTCAAAACTTCCATTATCAGGGTCGTACCCACTAGTGGAGCCAACATCCTGCTCCAGCAAGAATTCATCACCTGATTCCATGGAGTTCATTCTCACAGAATCGAAGTTCTCATTACTTCGCACCAGCATATCATCAGACCTTGACACGAGATGGATGCTTGGGAGATTATGAGTGAATTGGGGTGAAACCAGACCATGAGGAACTTGCAAGTGTGAAAAAGAAGGTTCGAATGCAGGCATATTTGTAGGAAGCAATCCTGGTAGATTCTGTTGACCATATCCCATTGAAGCTAACGACGACGGTGAGATCATGAAAGGCATTTGAGCTGATGATAGGTTGAATGGCAAGTGAACCTGACTGTTAAAGCCATGAAAAGAAGCAGATGCCATCATGTTGACAAAATCTTGTTCTTCCTGGTGCATCCCCCGGGTTCCAGAGGTTGAGGAAAGCTCTTCATTTGATGCATCCAACCCAGAATCTCTGTGATAGCTATGTGAGCTGCTATTAGAGTCAGCAGTGTCTAGACTTTGACTGGATGGAATGTGCCCGCCATATTGAGTCTTGTCAACTGAAGATTGACTGCTATTGCATGCTAAACCTTCAGAACCATTGTTCCTCCTGTTACTACTGTCTGGCCTTAAAGAAGTAGCATGTACTTTCGCACTTTCAGTTGATCTATTATGCCATGAAACATCAGTATATGTGTCAGTAAGCTCTGGGCTTGAGCGTGTTCTGGCAAGAATAGACTTTCCCTGGAATTCATTCACCAAACTATCAGGTTTCAGATCTCTCTGACCTTTCTCATTATTCAGAACCTGATTGGAAGTAGCATCTCTTCTACTTTGTGAAGAACCCCTCAAGCTACTCAACATGACGTGGTTTTTTAAGCTTTGAGTTTCAGAAGCTGTGGATGACTCACTTTTTCTAGACATGCTTACAGGTGAATAATTACCGTGTTGAGAGGAAACATGTGCATGAACCCCCTCAGCCACCATCTTATGACCAGAGGACCTACCATTTACTTTTTTGCCAATCACATTGTTGTTTGAATTATCAAATTCATGAATGCTCTCTGGAGTTGATAATCTCAAGCACCCCAAATCAATTCCTGGTGCATCAGGCCGATCGCCGCTGCTGTGCCTAGCCCATGTATTTGTGAAGAACTGATTAACTTCAAAAATTACATTTTCTTGGGTGCAGTCAAGTAATCTAGCCAGTCTTTTAGCTCCAAAAGCAAATGCACTCCGTATTCTAAAGAAATTACCTGAGAACAAAAAGTATCAGCTACAAGTAAACTATAAGAAGTAAACGAAAATGAATATCCACAAGAAATATAGCATCAAACGACCAGTGAATTTAGACTGGAGATACAAAATACAAGAAGTGCAAGTACCTTACCTATGTTTTGCAAAAGAAAAGAAAAACGCTAGCTGTTGCAAAGTAAAAAGAAAAAGACTAGACTTGTTTGAGAAAAAAATTCACATAAAACCAAGTTTGACAATTGACGCTGATACTGAACACTCAAAATCAACAGTATCA